TGACTACCTGCCCTTTGGCTGGTATCGTGACTTCTTCGTTGGCATACAGGTCATGTCCTGCCGCCTTCTCGGACCCTCTTGTGGGTATCTTAGCCTCGTGGCTTAATTTTTGAACTTTGATCCTTTGATCCGTTGTTTGCACTTGGTTGAACATTGTTTCTAGGTTCTCTTGGCTTGCTTCTTCTTCTGGGGTTGCATATACTACTGGCGAACTGTTGAGACACCATGTCATGCATTATTCGCTGGTAAATGTAACTTTTCCTTCTTCCCAGTCCAATGTGGGATTATGTTGTCTTAACCATGGCATTCCGAGAATTATCTCATGGTGTTGCAGATTTGCTACTTGGAAAGTAGCCACTTCCCTATGGTTTCCAATTTCCATAGGTACTTGCGTGATATGGGTTATAGGTCCCATTGCGCTGGGTTTTCCATCTGTGAGGTAAATCTGTCTTTCTTTTTTGGCTTTCTTGGTCTTCAGCTGATATTTCCTACATACTTCTTTGTCTATGAAGTCTTCCGTGGCTCCTGAGTCGAGCATTGCGTGTATCGTGATTGCTTGTTTTTTGTTGTTATATATTTTTATTTTGATCATAATATGATCATTGTCGTTATTTTCCGTTTTTGCGCTTAAAAGAGTGTAGTAGTTGGCCATTGAGATGGGTTTGTCTTTCGGAGGGTCCCGCAGACCATCTATTGCTGGGGACCTTCGTCTTTTGCCACCGTTTCGTATTCCTCTTTAATTTCAATTTCTCTTAGATTGCTTTGCGGTTGGAACCTAAGGTTTGGCCTCATATTTTGCTGGTTTCTTCCTTGTATTGGAGCTGGGTTGGCAGGTCGTCTGCAATCCTTGATCATATGCCCTCCTATTTCCCATCTCAGACATAGGTTGTTGTTTCAACGTCTAAGGTACTCATCTTTTGCCAGGTTAAGTGACGGTCTCCGTCTAGTTGCATCTAGGTCCATTGCATCACCTCCTTAGGTGGTGGTTCGATAGGTTCCGTTCTGATTCCTGGGTGTACCTTGGTTTCTTGTATTCGTAGTGTTACCTTGAGTCAAGTTTGACTTGTTTCTTTGGATCCAATCCAGTTGCCCGAATTGGATTTCTTTTTGCATGGTCCAGTAGGCCATGACTTCAGCTGTAGTGAATCTTTCTTCGCTGTATCTCCAGGCTTCTTGATAGGTGGTTCTCAAGCCTTTCATGAACCACCTCATAGCTGAGGCCTCGTCACAATCTGCATCGTACTGGAGTAGTCTGAACTCGTACCAGTAATCGGTGATATATTTTGTTCCTTGGCGAATTTCCTCCAGTTTGTTTCTTGCCGATTGGCTTAATTCTATGTCCGTGAATTGAGCTTCGAATACAGCCTTGAAGCTGGCCCAGTCTGTCCAGGTACCATATTGCTGACCACGATAGGGGTTATCCATTTTAGGGCAGTTCCTTCCAGTAGGGTGAGAGTGTATCGTATTTTGTCCTGGTCATTTCCCTCTGTCCATCCAACTACATCAAAGTAGGTCAAAAGTTGAACCATGAATTCCCGTAACTTGCTTCTTTCTCCCTCATATCATGGAGGGGTTTTGACTTTAGGTTGTTGCCCCGCTCCTCTTATAGCTTCCCATATCATCTGTTGCACCTCGTCCCTTAGAATAATTTGAGGGGGTGCTTGCCCTGCTAGAGGCGGGCCTGGCGGTGGTGCTGGTCCCGACATTCTCTCAGGTCTCAGTGTTTCTGGTATTTCTTCTTCGTCTGAAAAGATAACTCGTTCAGGTGTGACTGGACTTGTAGTTCTTGCTGAGTATTGACTTGCTTTGCTTAGCGCTTGTTCTAGTTCCTCCAGTCCAAATCCTTCGTCTTGAACGTCTATATCCTCCTCGTGGTCTCTGTGGAAGTGATCTGTTGTAAAATCCTTAAGTGTCACGTTGTAGACACATTCTAATGTTAAGAATCCTGCCCAGCGGGGAAGTAATGTGACAGGTAACGATCCTTAACTTGGGGCGAGGTAATAGTTCTTAGGCTTATGCCTACACGATTCCGATAGTCGAGTCCTTTGACATCTATCTTATCGCGCCTATTCTTCTATTTTCGTAAGTCCTCGTTTAGGACTTGTTCGTTCGGCGTGGGACGAGAAATAGTTTTCTCGCATGGAAGGAAAGACAGTTCTGGGGTTTCTTAAAATAAATCTTAAAGAGCATAAAGGTAGGTTTTATTGATAAACTTAAAGGTAGGAAATAAACAAGAAGAACGTGTGAAGAGCTAATACTAGGGGTTCTAGTGACCCTTTATATAGTAGCTCTTCACCTGTCGTGACTCATACTTATATGTCACGTGAACCTAGTAACTCATAACTATGAGTCATGTAAAATCCATCAGCCGACTCCTATGAGTCGCTGCGCAACATACCTAAAACCAATCAAAACATAATAACCAAGTCAGGTGCGCAACTCGCATCACCTGAGTGAAATCCATGACTCATAAGTATGAGTCATGTACGAAAATCATTACATCGTGTGACTCACAACTGTGAGTCACGAACAGGTAAACATAATAACCTATGGCGCACTAATGTGTGTCATGTGAGATCCCAACATACAGTACTAGGACAAAAATATTTCCGAAAACTGATCGCACATGGCAACCCCGCAATCCTCCACATAATTTCAATCTCCACTATGTTATTCAGAACGAAGAAGAAGACCCCTGGAATTGGACGACTTTCAGACATCAAGAAAGGGGAAATTATGGGACTGTGGAAAGTTCATCAAAGTGTTGTGAAGATTCTGCCACTCTTGACATATCCAAGACAAGACTCTGTCGTTCGAAAGTTCATCTAGCGGTGGCAGAACAGAGATGACCATCACGATCGCCCCACATCTGGTCGCCCCCTGAAAGTCAGTGAGCGAGCTTAGCGCCGACTATTAAGAGCAGCGAAGGCAAACAGAAGCCAGCCCCTACGCGAGTTGACGCAAACGGTGACTCCTAATGTCAGTGTACGAACTGTCAAGCGTATTTTAGTGAAAAAGGGAATTAAGAAGTGGCGGGCAAAAAAAAGACCGAAATTGACAGAGAGTCATGCGGCTGAACGCTTACGCTGGGCTCAATCCTATGCAGAGTGGACTGAGGAGGACTGGAAGAGGGTAGTATGGAGCGATGAATGTAGCGTGGAAAAGAGCAAGGATCCACGTACCATATGGGTATTCTGTACCCCATATGAAAAATGGGATAAGGACTGCATCCAGACCTATGAAAAGGGAGGAGAAGTGAAGCTGATGGTTTGGGGATGTTTTTGGGGTCCATACCGTGGCACCTTTGTGCCATTAATTGTCAAATCCGTGGATCGATTTGTCTATCAAGATCTTTCAGACCATCTTTTACCTCCGGTACTGCAAAAGGTTCGAGAAACAACAGGTGCAGAGCCTATTTTTATGGAAGACAACTCCCGAGTTCATAAAAATAATGTGGTAATAGAATGGCATGATGAGCATAGAGTGGAAGTGATGGAATGGCCGGCATGTTCACCTGATTTGAACCCAATTGAACATCTATGGCGTCGGCTTAAGGAGAGGATGCAGAAAATGTATCCTGATATTGGAAATACAAAAGAAGGATCAGAGGCCATTAGAAAACGTCTTGCTGAAGTTCTTCCACTTGTATGGGATACATTAGAGTCTGAATATCTGGAGAGTCTATGGAGAAGTATGCCATCTAGAGTTTGCGCAGTTATTGCAGCAAATGGTTGGTATACAAAGTATTGAATTTTTTTTTTAATTTTTTTTACATATATGTCTTCTGTTACCTGTAATTAATCTTCCCACTCATTATTGTATGGTCTCTATGCATGGTTGGGGTGGGGGGGTGGGGAGTGTGATTGTCACGGTGGTGAGTCTGGCCGGGTTTTTCGCGTTTCGGAAATATTTTTGTCACCCGACTGTACCTATAGCTCAGAATTCCGAGCTATGTAAAATCTGCCTTGCTTAGTCACAGTTTGTAACAGATAATCTGAATATTTTCGGGTAAGTTAGCCCTACTTTTTAATAGACCTAATAGTAATAGTACCAACAACACAACGACAACCAGAACAAAATACTCATGCTTTGTAGTAAATTTTATATCTCTTTTTAATGTTTAAAAAGAATTAACATTAGTGACCTCTTACTGGAAAAGTCCTCAAGGTCCTGAGGAGGGCAGCTAGTTAGGCATATACTCTATTAATTTTTAGGTAGTTTTTCAGGCTTATTAATCAGAAATTATACAATAAATCAAGCTTACGCAGCCCTTGGCCCATGTTTCTAGCAGGAGAGCATTTTTGAAGTATATAATAACCTTTGACTTCAGTCCCATACAAAATGTCCCAACTTGAAACTCTTACAACTCCCCAACTAGATATGTTCTCACTAAATTAAGAGGAACCCCTGATAGACCATATCAAGTTGTATATGCTTTCGCTCTTAAAAAAAACATTTATGCCCTGATTTAGTGGAGTAGTAGACCTTCAGGGTTGGGGAATGCTTTTGGCGAAAATACCCAGGTTGCCAGTGAGCGGCACTACATAAGCGCCAGCAACACTTGACATGCCTGACTCGCATCATAACCACCAATAGCAAAAGGCACGCATCTCCCCATCCGCTGCCATTTATCCAGCTTAGCCATACTCTGCGGGGAACGAACGGAGCTGTAATCGGCTGTGTCAACGCCTCCCTGCAGCATACCATGATGGGGTTAAATTAGCAGCGGGGCTGCCTACTTGGTTTGCCACCTATCCCTTGGGCGGTGTGAAACAGTAAAATTCGGACCACACCCAGATTTAGCTACATTCAGCCAAGTTTGCTCAGAAACTCCAATTTTCGATCGCCTGAGTGCTCAAATGACTCAGCACTATTAGAGAATCGGGGAAGGCTTGGCCAAATCTTGGTGTGGTAGTTCCCCTCTCCCTTCTTTTTTTCCTACTGCGCAGGTAATTGTAACCCGTTGGGACCCGAGGAGTCTTGTGTGCTCTCTCTTTCCCATCGGTAGTCTGAACGACGTTTTTATATACGGCTTACACGAGTTTCCCACAGGCCCTTGCTCCCGGGTAACGTTCGGCATACCAGCATTTATCCTACACCCACGGCCATGGAAGCCCTCGCGTTGTCTTCCAATATCCTAGCAGTACTCTCACTCGCCGGTAAACTCCTTGCAGCAGGATACCAATACGGCTCCAGTTCTGCCCAATTCCCGTCCGAACTCCAACACCTAGTACAGGAAGTCACGGCGCTCAGTGGGGTCCTGCACGCTGTAAAGATGCTGGCCGATGACCCAGCCGCAAGTACGAGAACTGCGAGTGGGAGTTCCAAAGATCTCATAAGAACTATGGGTGAACCTGTCGAGCAGTGTCGGAAGTTTATGGAGGGGATGTTGAGAGACCTGCAGGGGTATGATGCGGCGAGTAGGAGGCGGGGCGTTTGGAGGTTCTGCTGGCCATTGAAGAAGACGACGAAGGAGTGGTGTGAGCGATTAGAGAGGCATAAGTCGATGTTTGAAGTTGCCTTGTCAGTAGATGAGGTGTGAGTGCTTCGTGAATGTGTTGGGTGAGTAGGTAGTGGAGGCGTATCTAATTGGGCATTAGGTCATTAGCTAGGGAGATTCGAAATGATGTGGGGGATATTAAGGCGCTTCAGCTCTTGAACGCGCAGGACGAGAATCAGGTTTTATATAGTAGGTTATTTTCAATTCCTGCTGAATTTTCAGGCTTCTAGGTGCCCGGGGTACTGTATTGACCACGTTGGCTGGCGCCGCAACCATTAAAGAGAGGTATATCAGACGGGACTACCCTGAATCCGCTATGTCCATCTCTAGAATATGTCTTTTCATTTATCACACTTTATACTTTCCGATGCCATTACTCTTTACTAACAGCTTTCAGGCGCTACGAAAAAAAGAATCCGAGATTGGCTTTCCCCCGCAGACCCACATTCTAATCATTTGGCGGCGAGAAATCTATGCCAGTACGGCACTGGGAGTTGGTTCACGGAAGGGAAGGAGTTCGAAAATTGGCTCAAGGCGGACAAATCTTTTCTCTGGCTGTACGGGATACGTTAGTTTCTCCCCCATACATCCTACTAAGCTTCAATTCCCGTGACAGTAGGGCAGTGGCTAATGGTAAAAAAGCTGGCGCGGGGAAAACGGTCCTATCGTGAGACTCTCCTAGTGTCCTACGGGAATGATTACTGATAAATCCCTCCAAGGTCTACCGTAATCGAACACGTTTCTGCAAAGTTTGCTAAAGAGCATGGTTCTATACTTGCATACTTCTACTGCGACTTCAAGCAAGTATCTAAGCAAAACGCGACACACCTTATGGGATCGATCATTTGGCAAATTTCGAATCAAGAGCCCACCGCGTTTCAGGATGTACGGGACTTCTCGGCAAAATCCGAAGATGGTCCGCCGAAGTTATCTGGTCTCATCAACCTTCTCCGACAACTTTTAACACGGATTTCTAAGCTTGCCATTGTTGTTGATGCGGTGGACGAATGCGAAGATAGCCTACAACCGGTCATGCTAGAAACCCTGGGGAAGCTCTCGGGTATAAGTAACGTCAATCTTTTGGTTGTCAGCCGGGATCATCTTAATATAAAGCTTCACTTCGAGGGACTGCCCAGTCTCGGTATTCAGAAACAGGACGTTGCGAAGGATATCGAGCTATACATCTCTCGCGAGATTGGGCGGAATAGAAAGTTGAAACGTCTATCTAGCTACATTAAGGACCAGATTATCGACGCTCTAGTAAAGGGAGCTCTGGGAATGTGCGTGCTCACTATTATCCCTTAGATTTAGCGGGTAATTCTGATGGCTTGTAAAGGTTCCGTTGGGCTAGATGCTGCTTAGACCAGATTAGTAAACTCAGAACCGATAAAGCCATCAAATCCGCTCTAAAGTCACTTCCCCCAACCCTGGATGAAACCTATGAGAGAATTCTATGCAACATAGCAGACGAGGACCGCGAGCTTGCACTAACTGTGTTTCGATTCCTGGTATGCGGTGACCGGAGCTTAACGCTTTCCGAGATCAGAGAAGGTCTAGCGACAGAGATTGGCTCCAAGCGGATGGATCTCGACAATAGGCTTAATAATGAAGAAGATATTCTAGATATCTGTGGCGGGCTTGTTGATAGAAACGAGATGAACATAGCCGGATTAGCACATTTCTCGGTAAGGGAATATTTGGTATCACCGAATTTGGCCAAGGGTAAAGCTTCATTCTACCATATCACTGAAACTCTGGGGAACACTGAGCTTGCAAAGGTCGCATACACATATCTACTACTCGATGATCTCAATACAGGCCCTTGCAGCACTGTCGCTGAGTTCAATCTCCGGTTGAAAGAATATCCTCTGTTTTTGTATGCTGCCCGGCACGGTTGGAAGCATGTGCTCAAGTACAAATACGGTTCAGACAAGATACTGGACGCGCTACTTGCACAATTCTACAGTGACGATAATAATCCGAATTTCGTTTCATGGCGGCAGGCTCAGTTCTCCGACTCCGAGATCCTCACTGATTATTTGGATCCAAGCAAGTCCTCAACAGCCACACTATACTACGCTTCTAAAGACGGTCTCTGGCAGCTAATTAACGGGATAATTAGCGCCGGTACCGACGTCAACCATTCCGGCGGTCCAGGTGCAACCCCACTCGGAGCCGCGGCGAGATACGGTCACCTTAAAACAGTTAAAGTCCTCTTAGAACATGGCGCAAATGCGACACAGAGCCCTAGAAATGACCCAATGCGCAGTGCAGCGGTCCACGGGCATGCAGACTGCGTAAAGGCACTGATAGAAGCGGGAGGAACAAGCGACGACCCGGATATCGGCCTATATGGAGCCTCTATTTTTGGGGCAGTGGTTTGGGGACACGAGGAAGTCTTTAATACAATTCTGTGTGCGGAGTATTACACAAAACTTGAAGATAACAAGCCCCTCCGGTTAACGATGTACCACGCTGCGCAAGAAGGATTCGACTGGGCCGCACAGATGCTCATAGAGAAATATGGTTACCGGATAATCTGCGACGATAATGAGTTCCTCCTCAGAACTTTAAAGGTTATAGCAGAACACAGCAGAATCAGGACTCTTCAATGCATTCTTCAGAGGCAGGAAGCTAGGGTAATTCTTTCAAGAGCTGACTTCTTTGCACCAGTTCTGGAGGGCGCTGTTTACTATGGACACGCGAAAATGGTGGAGTTGCTGCTCAGAAATAAGATGGAGTCGTCGGAATTGGGGGTTTCATTTCATCTTGCGATTGCAAAGGGGTATCCAATGATTGGCAAAATGCTGCTGGGCGAAGGTGCGGATCCGCGTGCTAAAGATGAACATGGCTGGACTCCAATGTTTTATGCTATGCAATGTTTGAAGGAGGGTTCTGTGGAAGGACTTCTAACAGTGCTCGGGGACGTTGAGAAATCAGAAATTATGAACGTCGCGGGAATGGGGCCGGCGGAGTGGGAGGTAATCGGTAATTCAACGGGGCTGAAGATTAGTGAAGATGGATGTGAAGTTGAAAATGGTATGATAAGCAACCGGTTTCCAAGCAGTAGCCCGGGGCTAACATATCCTCTAGTCTCGACCTCCGAAGAGCAACTTAGGGCAAAATTCCCTATTACCCCAGTTGTAGACGACTACTACTTTGAAGTTCGCATATTAAAAGGATCCGACAGCTGCATCATTGGCTTCGTGGATGCCATGTACCACTACGTCATCGACGGCTTCGAGCTCTACTCTGCCGAGCTCGGGCACACCTTCCGTTCCTGGGGCTACGCCCCAGGGCGCATCCACACCCAAGAGGATGTCCTCCCTGCCATTCCATCTTTTACCACAAATGACATCATAGGTTGTCATTTCGACCGAGTAAGAGGCGCAGCCTCGTTCACGTTGAATGGGAAACGAGCCGGTAAGTACCCTTTCATTATTCTATCGAGTCTCACAACCCTAACAAATACAGGCAAGCCGCTATCCGGCGTACGTGGAAAATTACGTCCAATGATCAGGCTCGCGCCGGGGGATAAGATTCGGGCCAATTTTGGCAGCGAACCTTTCCTACACGAGATCCCCGAGCCGGCTGCCGCGGAGGCGTACAAAAAGGAGCGCCCCCTGAGATTCCCACTGGACCTGTGGTTTCGCCATCCCAGTGAGCTCGACGAGTGATATTTTGTGTCTGTCTGAGTGGTTGCTTGTACGATGTCTGGGCTAACCTGTGATAATGGGCCCTCGTTACAAGAAAATCCTTGGGAGAAAGAATTTCCTTTCCTTTATTATTGACAATAACTCGCCTTTCTTCAGAGAACTTTTTTCCAAACGGTGATCCAAGGCCTGGCCTCGATCCATTTTGTCGAAGTTCCCCTTGTATTATATGATACTATTTAGGCAGCCGATACCGAGAATTTGCGACACTCAGTATTCTTGCATGAGGGGCCTACCAGGGCATAAGAGTAGCTTGAAATTAGAGGCATGAATTAGGTTAATATTTTTCCCATCACGTAGAGGCATGGCTCTCGAACATGGTACACTATTAGTCGATCATTACACCCCGTAGCAACACGGGGGAAGAGCACCCCGGATAAAAGCTGCCATTCTGATTTTACATTTCTCCAACAACTTATTCTAAAGGCTTCAAGAGGAGCAAGCACCTAAGGGGTTCGAGGACTAGGCTTTATCTCGTCAATTAAACCGGGGCTTGTTTATCGTAGGAAATTCCGGGCCGAGGAACTCCGGTTTCCAAGGTAACCACCGGAAATTTGCATGGGTACTGTACCTCTTCTCCATCCGATGCTTCTGACAAAAATTTTCTAAGGCCTGCTGTGTGTAGGAGCGGAGCTATAATTGGTTGTGCCAACGCTTCCCGCAGCATACCATCTTGAAGGTTTGATTCGCAGCAGTGCTGCCTAAGCAGTTGGGGCTCTGGGAGGTCCTTCGCGCTCTCATTTTCCCATCGGAAGCCAGAGCGTCGTTTTTATATGCGACTACACGAGTTCCTCACTAGTCCCCGCCCCCCTAAATCACAGCATACCAGTACCCCTCACCCACGACCATGGAAGGCTTGGCATTATCCTCCAATATCATAGCGGTACTCTCGCTTGCTGGTAAACTCCTTGCAGCGGGATACCAATACGGCTCCAGTTCCGCTCAGTTCCCGCCAGAACTCCGACACCTGGTACAGGAAGTCACGGCGCTCAGTGGGACCCTGCACGCTGTGAAGATGCTAATCGATGATCCAATTGTGAATACCAGAACCGCGAATGGGAGTTCCGGAGATCCCATAAAGACTATGGGTGAACCTGTCGAGCAGTGTCGAAAGTTGATGGAGGAGATGTCGAGGGATTTGCAGAGGTATAATGTGACGAGCAGGAAGCGAGGCGATTGGAGCCTCTGCCGGCCATTGAAGGAGAAGGTGACGAAGGAGTGGTGTGAGCGATTGGAGAGACATAAGTCGTTGTTTGAGGTTGCCCTGTCCGTGGATGAGGTGTAAGTGCTTTATTGTATTTCTTCTGAGCGAGTAGGTCGTAGGGGTGTATCTAATTTGACATTAGGTCGTTAGCGAGGGAGATTCGAAACGATCTAGAGGATATTAAGGCAACTCAACTCTTGAACACGCAAGACGAGAATCGTGCTGTCCATAGTAAGTTTTTTTCTATTCCTGCTGAATCGTGAGGCTTCTGGGCATTTGGGATACTGGATTGGCGGTGCTGCCCGGCGCCGCAACAAGGGAGGAGAGAGATATCAGACGAGATTCCTCTGGATTCGTCGTGTTCATCTCAAGAATGTGTCTTTTATTTATTATTCTTTATACTTTTAGATGCCATTGCTCTCTGCTGATACCTTTAGGCGCTATGCAAAATAGAATCCGAGATTGGCTTTCGGTAGCGGACCCACAGATTAACCATTTGGCGGCAAGAAAGCTATGCCAGCGCGGCACTGGGCGTTGGTTCACTGAAAGGAAGGAATTCCAAGACTGGATTAAGGCAGACAAATCTTTCCTCTGGCTGTACGGGATACGTTAGTTCCCCTTCATACACCCTTCTAAGCTTCAACCAGTGTGACGGTAGGCCAGGCGCTAACTATAAAAAAGCTGGCGCGGGGAAAACGATCCTATCGTGAGAAGTACTACCAATACTCTAAGAAATAATTACTGGTCGATACCTCCAAGGTCTACTGCGATCGAACATGTTTCCGCAAAGTTTTCCAAAGAGCACGATTCGATGCTCGCATACTTCTATTGCGACTTCAGGCAACCATCCAAGCAAAATGCAACAAATCTCATAGGATCGATCATTTGGCAAATGGCGCAGCAAAAACTCAATGTGTCTCAGGATGTGGAGGACTTCTTCTCGGCAAAATCCGCGCATGGCCCGCCTAAGTTATCTGGTCTTATCAACCTTCTTCGACATCTTTTAACACGGATTTCCAAGCTTGCCATTGTTGTTGATGCATTGGACGAGTGCGCCATCGGCCCACAAGCAACTCAGGCATAAACAAAGTCAATCTTTTGGTTGTCAGCCGGGACCATCTCAACATAAAGTCCCAGTTTGAGGGACTGCCCAGTTTTGGAGTTCAGAAGAAGGACGTTGCGAAGGATATCGAGCTATACATCTCCCACGAGATTAAACGAAATGGAAAGTTGAAACGTCTATCTAGCTACATTAAGGACCAGATTGTCGACGCTCTAGTAAAGGGAGCTCTAGGAATGTGCGTGCTCACTATTATCCCTTAGATTCAGCGGGCAATTCTGATGACTTATAAAGGTTCCGTTGGGCTAGATGCTGCTTAGACCAGATTAGTAAACTCAGAAGCGATAGAGCCATCAAATCCGCTCTAGAGTCACTTCCCCCAACCCTGGATGAAACGTACGAAAGAATTTTATGCAACATAGCAGACGAGGACCGCGAGCTTGCGCTAACAGTGTTTCGATTCCTGGTATGCGGCAGCAACCGGGACTTTACGCTTTCCGAGATCAGAGAAGGTCTAGCGACAGAAATTGGATCCAAGCGGATGAATCCAGACAATAGGCTTAATGATGAAGAAGATATTCTAGACATCTGCGGTGGGCTTGTTGATATAAATGAGAAGGACATAGTGGGATTAGCACACTTCTCGGTAAAGGAATATTTGGCGTCACCGAATTTGGCTACTAGCAAGAGCAAAGCTTCATACTACTATATCGACGAAACCCTAGGAAAAATTGAGCTCGCGAAGATTATATACACGTATCTACTCCTCGATGATTTCAGCACAGGCCCTTGCAGCACTATCGCTGAATTTGATCTCCGCAAGAGAGAGTACCCCCTATTTCTGCTCGCTGCCCAGCACGGCTGGAGTGTCTCGGCCAGTTACCAATATGGTTCAGACAAGGTCCTTGACGCCCTGCTTGCACAATTTTATAGTAATGATAACAATCCGAATTTCATTTCATGGCGGCAGGCGCACCAGTCCACTCCTAAGGACATCACCGACTATTTGGAACCACAGCGCTCCTCAACAGCTACACTATACTATGCTTCCGCACTTGGTCTCTGGCAACTAATTAAAGGGATAATTGGTGGAGGGGCTGATGTTAATCATTACGGTGGCAATCCCCCCACCCCGCTCCAAGTTGCAGCGGCTACTGGGCAGGCCAAAACCGTTAAAGCTCTCCTAGGACATGGTGCAAGTACAGCACCGATACGTGACTCGGACGCAATGATGTGCGCAGCGGGATCTGGCCATGCAGACTGCGTAAAGTTACTTATAGAAGCCGGTGCAACAAGCCATTGCCCGGATCGTGGCCTTTATGGCGCAGCTATGCACCGGGCCTATACCAATGGGTTTGAGGATGCCTATAATGCAATTCTGTGTTCGGAGCATTACAGAAGATCTGAGGATAGCAGGCCCTTCTGCCTCATGATATATGAAGCTGCGAGCCAGGGGTTCGGCCGATCCACGGAGATACTCATAGAGAGATATGGCTCCCGGATCATCAGCGACAATAACGAGTTCCTCCCCACAACCCTAAGGACTTTTGCAGAGCATGGGAGAACCAAAATTCTTCAACGGTTATTGCAGAAGCCGGAGGCTTTAGAATTTCTTTCGAGAGATAAAGTCTTTGTACCAGTGTTGGAGGGCGCTGTTTTCTACGGTCAGACGAAAACGGTGGAGTTGTTACTCAGAAAAAGGAAAGACTCGCGAGAATTGGGGGTTTCATTTCACCTTGCAATCGCAAAGGGGTTTCCAAAGATCAGGGATATGCTGCTTCGTGAAGGGGCAGATCCGTGTGCTAAAGATGAGCATGGCTGGACTCCGATGTTTTACGCCATGCACAGTTCGAGGGAGGGCTCCGTTGAGGGATTACTGGCAGTCCTCGGTGATGTTGAGAAATCGGAAATTATGAACATCACAGGAATGGGACCAGGGGGGTGGGAGGCTATCGGTGATGACTCAATGGGGCTGAAGATTAGCGAAGATAGATGTGAAGTTGAGAACAGTAAGTAACATAGCTCCTAGCAGATGTCCGAGCTAATATATCCCCCAGTTTCGGCCTCTAAAAAACAGCTCCGGACAAAGTTCCCTATCACTCCGGTCGTAGGCGACTACTACCTTGAGGTTCACATATTAAAGGGGGGATCGACAAACTCTGCAATCGGCTTCGTGGATGCATTGTGTCACTATGTCTGTGAGGGCTCCACCATCTACACTTCCAGCCTGGGATGGGATGTCCGTTCCTGGGCCTACCACCCAGGATATATCCATGGTGAAGATTCCCCTGGGGCTAGATCCGCTCCCAATTTTACCACAGGCGACGTCATAGGTTGTCATTTTGATCGAGTAAGAAGTGCAGTCTCGTTCACACTGAACGGGAAACGGGCCGGTAGGCTCTCTTTCGTTATCCAATTGGTTCTCACAGTACCTTACAGATACAGGTGACCCCCTACCCGGGATCCGCGGGAAATTACATCCAATAATCAGACTCACGCCTGGGGATAAATTTCGAACTAATTTCGGCAGCGAGCCTTTCCTGCACAAGATCCCCGAGCCGGCTGCCCCAGAGGCATACATCAAGGTGGGGGGAGGCTGGACCAATTGGTTTGATCATCCATATGAGTGTTATGAGTGACGAGTGATGCTTTGTGTCTTGGCCTGGGGTGGCTAGGTGTGCGATGTTTGGATTAGACCAGTATGGGGCTCTCAATATACGAAAGCATCATACTTGCAAGGAGGGATTTTTCTCCCTTGTATAATCACAGCAATTTTATCCCAGAGAATTCTTGGCCTCGGCAATGATGATAGGAGCTAGGTCTCGACCTATTTTATCCAAGTCCCTTGTATAATACGTTGAAGCCCTCTGGTATTGAAAGTCTACCGTATTCGGCCTTCACACACGAGGATCATACGGGGCCTATAGATTAACTTAGGAGCATGAGTTGTGTTACCTTTTTTTTTTTCTTTTAACTGCCCAGAGACACCATAGGATAGTTGCACAGTACTTGTATAAGAAAGACACATCACAATCCAACCCCCATCCACCACAAACACGGGCCTCTCTGGATACATGCGGGTGTAAAAAATCTGGAACAATAGGAAGCGCAGAAGCTCAAACAATCGGAACTTGCGCTACAACAGGTTAGTCCAAAAACTCCTCTCTCAGAAAAGGAGAGAGAAGAGCCCAGCAAAAGACAAGTTCCGCCCCTCTGAACAATAGAAGTACAAAAGAAATACACCAGACATTACCAGAGAAGGCAGTCAACTCGAGCGACGTAGCATACGGCCCGATTATTCGCAGTCTGAGGAAAATATGCCACATATCTAATTTCTTCAGTCCCAACTAGCCGCCACCCCCACAGCACCACAGCGCACACACATTATAGTGGCTCCGGAAACACCCAAATACATGCGAAAACCGTGCAAGGGCACCTTCCATCCAGTTTAATCCTAACATCCCGTTTCGCGTTCCCCCACTCGACTATCAACAATTCAGCAGATAATCCAGGCTCTACGGCACACAGCTCCCCCACACATCTCCTCCTCCCCCTGACCACCGGTATACTGGTATCGCATCAATCGAGGCTGTTCAAGTCCAAATTACGTAGCAGCGCCGGATGACAAGCCACCCATTATCCCGACAAGACTCCCTAACAGCCTTAGTTAAGACCAGGCCCGGCCCATAAATCAGACCCCGAGATATGAACTGTCTAATTGACTGATCGGTCATGGCTCTAAGACCTGACCTACCGAATCATCTGCAACCTCGCTCTAGGGTACGCAAAACAGACCGGTATACACCGCCCGTTACCAAGATCAGTATGGTGCAAGAACTCTCCCCAACAGTCAAGTTCAACACCAGTTACGAGCAGTAGGTTACAACAGAACTCGCTTCTATTGTTCTTTTCCCCCCTATCTATTTCCCCAATTTCCCTCACCCTTCCATGCCAGCGGGGCCTAGCAGACCCATTGGACTAACCGGGCTATGATCCGCCGGTCTTGGGTCACGCACTTTCGGCCGTGGCTAACTCATGGGAGGGCTTGGGTCGCGGGAGGGATGGAGCACTGCCAAAATTTGTTTGTGGGGAGGTAAGCACGGAGACATATCGCACACAAAGAGATCTTATGACGATGTAGAGTGATTTACCGACAAGTTGACCCCCCGTACGCACCATACCGCCCATAGACCGTACGAGCCCTTCAATGCTCTACCCGTACCGGTACCGCGAGAAAGAAACACAATATATCGGGACAGTGGGCATGTGACCCTCAGCGCTTCACGAAATCCCCTCCGTGCACTTTCTAGCTGTTTTGCAAGAAGCTGTACTCGGAAGGATACAGGAACTCTCCAGACCCAGCTGTGACGGCCCACCGGCTCTTCGAGTAATAGCCCACTCTTTTCTGAGTAACACTTGGCACACCCAAAAGCCTCTTCGTGCACCCCTCTATCCATTTTAACTTTACATGGGGTCGTGTTATCTCGAGACGTTATGCAACTTTGTTCGGCATAGGCTCCCGGCCCAAGCCCCCCAGTAGAGCCCCCGTATTCCACTGGCATCCAGGGCATTCGGTGGGCACCACACCAATAGAAACCCCCGATGCGGGTGCAGCGCCACCGGGACATAACAGGGGAGAAAAAGTGACGTAAAAATGGAAAATTGGCCTGCTCCAGTGCTAATTTCTATCGGCTTGGCTACCGGTATGATACACTGGATTCGCAGGAATTAAAGTCTATGAGTCTGTGCCATACCTCACTGCCACACCGCATGGATGGTTAAACCATGTGATAAAACGTTACCTCCAAGAATTCTGCCTTGGGGCGACTTGAGTTCCCTCGAAAAAGCCTCAACGTCTCCACATTTACTGAACATATCCAATCCTATCGCGCTCCAGGGAGTGTTGCTCCGCTAGGTAGCAAGATGAGTCCTAGATGGCTAGATGCCACTGTGTTATACCGGTACAGTAGGAGATTTTATGGTATCAGGGTGGCGTTTGGCCGGTTCGATACGAGCTGGACAACAGATTCAAGCCAGCTTTTGTGTGATTAACAGGATCGAACAGGTGGTAGGCGGTAGTTGGGCTAAATACGACACTCCTTTTCGAGGTGTCAAGAATATCCACCGGGGTCTAGTTCAGGATTTTATCGTTTATCCCGATTAGAAAAGTATAAGCTAATTTGTTGTTGCGGGTATTCAGTAGGAAAACACCACCGCAGCACGAACAGCAAACCCCCAAAAAGTACAATCCCCATCCCACTCTAGCGCTCCACAAGTATCGCCCAAGCGAAAAACAGCCTCTTGAGGTAATCCATCCGATCATCTGCTCACCCCCGTTAAAGAAAATACCGGTATTTCGAGGGGCAGTGTCCTGTAGCTGTTGGGGCTGAGCGGTTTCACCAGGTCTCTGGGGGACTAAGCGCCACAGGGGGCGGCTAATCCAACGGACCGTTCCGTTGCGGCACCTAACCTGTTTACAACTAGGTGCCAGTTTTACTGTGGGGTTTGCGACGACCAGGTTGAACAAAGCGGGAGGCCCGCTTTTCTCCCTTGTCGGGGGAGGGGGAGAAGTTTAGGCACCGTTATTCGTAGGTAATGAGTTGGACTGCGCCATGATCAGGAGGCAAGGGAAGGGAAGGGAAGGGAAGAAGCGTCCCACAGGTTATGGCCCTTGGGCTGAGCGATAAGAATACCGCGCTGTGCCCATCTCTACCCGTAATACAGGTATGCTAGCTGCACCCTACCGTACAAGTGTCATACCATACTAGCGTGTGCAAAGCCTTCCTTAACATGGGGAATGGTAAATCAATTGGCGCGCGACGCAAGTTGGGGAATTCTACCTCTGAAGACCCCCTCAGTCCAAAGGTAAGAGATTTCCACAACACCCCACAGTTCACTCCGTTCCCAACCCCGCCGCAAGCACCTTATATGCAGCATCCGAACATAAAGTGTTGAAGGTAATCCACCACGTGAGGGGGTTCTATGGGAGGCACGAGGTTAGCGCAAACGCTGTATGTAGCAGAAAAGGCGCGGAATGGAAAAAGTTTATCACCCAAACACTTTAGCCCTAATTTAGTACCGTACTTGCACGGGCGCCGAGATGCGCACAGATAATTTGCCTGCAAATTTTTGATCCCTGCTCTTCCGGTGCTTCATGCGTACAGGACGGCACCTTCTGTACAGCAACTGTAAAAACCGAGAGCCCTTTGTTGTACCCGTCTCAGACCATGCAATCGCCAATAGCAAGCTGTGGCAGGACATGCCCGTTCAGCGCGTCTAAGGCGGACACTGCTCGATTCTCCCCTCCCACATGGCACAGGCACCCCCGCACACTTCGTGGCGCCCAAAAACCGGTGGCTCAAGTGAAAGCTTACAGTAGCGATGCTCCCTTCCCTCCCTGCCATGAAAAGGCTGTCCCCCGCCGTTCAGGACTAGAACCAGCCCTTCCAGCGGCAGGCAGATATATATCACTCACCGAACAGAAATCTACCAAGACAGACAGAGAGACAGACAGACATATCGACGGAAATACGGACGATATATAACACCTTCTCCACTTCTGCCCCTCCTCAGCACTCCCAAAGCACCCCTCCAAAATGGATCCCCTCTCCATCACCGCCAGTGTAATCACCGTTGTCACCCTAACCGGCCAACTAATATCTCTCGGTTACTCCTACGGCGTCGGTGTCTCGGGATGTCCTCAAGAACTCCGAGACCTAACAACGGAACTGATATCCTTCAGTACAATCCTCGGCGCCGTAAGGAGTGTGCTAGACCCTACTCAAAACCCCACCGCGGGGCCACATCCGACGCTGATTGGGAACTCCCTGCAAAATAACCTCGATGAGTGCGCTACGCAGTTGGGGAAACTCTTGCTGTTCTTGCAAAAGTATCAGGACCCGGCGGATGGGAAGGTGAAGAAGGTTGTGAAGAGGATGATGTGGCCGTTGAAAGAGCAGGAGACCAAAGAGTGGATTGCGAGGATTGAGGGATATAAGAGCACATTTTCGTTGGCGTTGTCAACGGATGGGTTGTATGTCTTGAATCCTCCCCCTCTACTTTCTGCGGGTGCATTAAAGGGTTGTGGGGCTGACTCGTGCGTGGCTTTAGACATCTTTCGCGGGTTATATCGGTGAATGTACTCGAGCTGAAGAAGGACCAAGAGGAGGAGAGGAGATTGGCGGTTTTGAAGAGGAAAGGTTGCTACCCCGGAGAATTTTCCCCGCTGTGCTTTCTAATCGTGAGGGTGGTTACTGCAGGTGACAAGTTCCTTAAGACACTGAATTGGCTTTCACCAGCGGATCGTTGGAGAAACTATGATGCGGCGTGCATGCTGAGAAATCCGGGGACGGGTGGGTGGGTGACGGAGAGGGATGGTTTCAAGGAGTGGTTGAAGAAGGATAATTCAATGCTCTGGATTCATGGCATTCGTGCGTCCTCAATACCACTACTGCTATCTGGCATCAGTTCTCGGAGGCTAACTTCAGCAACTACCAGCTGGCTGCGGAAAAACCATCCTATCGTAAGTGCTCAAACAAACCACTTCAATGCACTTCTAACACCGGTCCAGATCAATAATAATCGACAAAATCCAGGACGAAATCGAGCAAACCGACACGGAGCTAATATACTACTACTTCGACTTCAAGGAAGCCACCAAGCAAACTTCTCGCGACCTCTACGGAAACCTAATCTCCCAACTCCTCGAGAATGATAGCGAAGTTTCTCCTGAGGTTGAAAGGCTTCACGACGATGCCAACGGCAACCCACCGCAACTCGACGACCTAAAAGAAGCCCTTATAAAACTCTTAGCAGCCCGGCCAAAAACCATCATAGTAATCGACGCACTAGATGAGTGCCAGGACCGTTCAGAGATCCTTGACAGCTTATTGAAACTCCACGAGCCGGCGAGCGGGAAGGTTAATCTTCTTATCACCAGTCGACAGGAAGAAGATATCAAGCGGGCATTCTCGGGATTCCCCAATATAGCGATCAAACCGGCGGATATCAAGGATGATATCAAGAAGTTCATCACAACTGAGATGGAGCGCCAGCCAAAGCTTCGGCGTCTGCCCCCACACATGAAAGCGGAGATCATGAACGCCTTGTCAATTGGCGCTGATGGAGTGTGCGATACATTCCCCCCATCCCCTTCCCTTCTATCACATCAGACGGCGCAACTCACTGACAGGCACGGGTTATAGGTTCCGCTGGGCAAAACACTCCCTAGAACGTGTCGCTCGCCAACGCACCAACAAAGCCATAAGATCCACCCTCCATGCCCTCTCCCGCAACATGGACCAAACCTACGAACTCGCACTCACAAAAATCCCCCCGGAAGACGCCATCCTCGCCCAGCGTATTCTACAATGGCTCGTATGCTCCTTCAGGCCACTGACGCTTGAAGAACTTGTCGAGGCCATAGCAATAGATCCCGGAGCTTGCACACTCGATCGGACAACCCTTCTCAACGACCCCGAGGACATAAAAGAGATATGTGCTGGCCTAGCTAGTCTCGGTGACGACGGGAAAACCGTCGGGCTTGCCCACTTTTCCGTAAAAGAGTACCTGATATCCCCGCAAATCGCGAGCAGTCCCACGGCAGCGCCATTCAGGATAGACCTCCAGGAGACGCACGTACTCCTTGCGAAACGGTGTCTGACGTATCTGTCCTTTGAAGATTTCGAGTTGGGACCCACGAGAGATGAAGCGGAGTTTGAGAAGAGGGTTGAGGATCACCCGTTTCTGAGGTACGCTTCGCAGAACTGGCCGCTGCACGCTCTGCGATATTCTCCCGATCGGGATGATGTGGAATTTCTGGCCCTAGCGAACGGCTTCCTGAACCCCTCCGCCGTGGGTGAGAATCTACTGGCGTGGGCGCAGGCACGGCATGTGGAGGAGGTGGGAGTGGCGGGGAAGTGGGATGGCTATTTAGACTGTGAGGTTGTTAAGGTGCTGTTGAAGAAGGAGAAGCAAGAGATCGAGGCCTTGATTAAAGATCCCTGGGCTCTGGCGGGGTGTGAGTGTTTTGGTGGCGGAGGGAGTGGTGGAGGGAGGGTCGCTATTTGAACTTTACTTGTGAAAATATTTTTGGTATCATAATGACGGTGCATTGGTCGGAGCATACGACTTTGAAGTTTTTTGGAAAATGGTTATAGCAGTTAATAGAAGTCACAGCTGTTCAGTTTATAAATACCTAATACAACAAGCTCGATGAGAGCTCTAGATTTCAAACCACTGCCGATATACATTCCAGTAGCAGAGCTCCAAGCAGACCACCCCAGTACCACATCCCGCGCCACCGAGAGCAACCACGTACCCACCCAGACTAACAACCAGACCTCCGACCCCAATGCTAGACGAATCTTGCTGGAAATGCCGTCCAAACACAGACTGAATTCAACAGCAGCTTAGCTCGGGTCGAACAAAACCCGGTGACCACCATTCCCTTCACAAGCAATCACTCGAGCCACCTTCCCCCCACTAAGGGGCCAAATGTCGAGAAAAGAGGGACGGTCAAAACGAGCACAGCCGGAATGTACTCGTACAAGGAAAAAAATAATCATGACGCCCTAGCACGCCCAGAGGTACATAGATAGTGGAAGACAGAATCCATACTAAAAACCAAACGAGCACTGTACAATACCTGGTAAAAGTGCAGCGGGGGAAAAAAAACGGATAATTAGCTGCCTTGCACCAATAACTGCTACCACCCTGAGGAATCGAGAACCCAGCACTACTGACGAAATCAGGAAATTCCCAAGAGCATAAAATGACCTCCCACGAGAGTAACTAACTTATCCCCTGAAATGCCGAGTGAGTGCGCCGAATTCCTCTACACGACGCTAAAGGTACTTGTAAAACCAGCAACACCAATAGACTTCCCTTATCGGCGGAATCAACCTCACAGATGAGTAAAATGCCAGCATGCGACTCTAAATGAGGACATAATATCGACAAAACCATTCTACTCTCCTCACAGTGAATAATGACGATCTAGATTAAGCGTGCGGACCTCTACGGAGAAGAACAGCAACAGAATACGCGTCGCCTATGGCAGATGACGGGCAAGTTCTGGACGCCACCAATTCCCCCGGACTTAGATAAATGCAAAACTTGCTGAAAGCTACCGTACAGTCGCACCTCGCTATCCCGGATGGCCAAAATCCGAGGAATTTGTCCAGTACAGCGAGGGATCCGGGACAGCGGGTGAGGTTTTGGTGGAAAGAAACCCAGAGTTCACCGAGATTCATACGGGACAGCGAGGTATCCGGATTATCGAGATCCGGGATAGCGAGGTGCGACCGTACTCGTGACGCATTCCCCTGTTTACGAGTAATCCGCCTTGAAAGGAAAGAAAGGAAAGAAGAAGAAAAATTATTAGTATGATACTGTAGTTCGTAAGGTGGTGGCTAGAGAGTGACACTTTACCTCATCCATCACTCGATGAATGTTCAAGGCACGTATCATACGATGATATAATACAATACAAAGGAGGATGTAGTTGAACGCGCTCTATGCAAGAGATTCAGTATCCGTACCCTTCTTCCCTTCCCCCCTCCGGAAACGAAGATTTGTATATCCCGAGGCGCCACTTGTAACCTCACTTGTAGATCCTACGCCTCCCCACTCGCAAAAGGCTAGGTTAATCACCAACAACCCATCCGAATATTTCGGTCCGGTACGGTAGTTATCCCTTTAGGTGTTCTTCTAACCCCTAGCTACCCTCTCTCTCTCTCTCTCCAACAATGCATCTCCACTTTGCCAGGCATGGGTGGCTGTGTGTCGTCCACCTGCCCCAGTGCTGACGAACGGATGGAGAGCTAAGCCACAGTGCACAAGCTGATGAGCACAATGTCGTCAAAGCTCCCCGAGGAAAAAAAAAAAAATTCTCAGCGAAGAGGCTCTTACTACCGTGTTACAGCTTCAGGTTTTGGTAAAAGGATAGGCACCAAGTACCACAGCGGTACCGTAGTAAATAGAATTAGCAACATAACACCGCGCCGAGTATCATACAGTCTCACCATAGTCTACATACGATACGGTACTGTACGGTACGACATCCGATCAGAGAAGCTAAAAACAGTAAACCCTTTACAGCAAAGTCATGTCATAGATTACCTACCGGCAACTCAGATCAGATACCCGTACCGTACCGTACAATACGACGATGAAACAATTCAAGAAACATCCCCCCTCCCACCCCTCGCCAAAAAGAAAATCATTACGGTAGCAAAGTTCGAAAGATGGGGGGATCTGAAGATCATTTCCCTCCATGAAGTTTGCAGCGCGGTATGATACATCACAATCAATCCCCTCCACCACCACCACTACTCGTACCACTACCACCTTCCCTGTGGTCTGAGTAAGATAGACTTCCCCCGGAGCGCGATGCACCGGCAACACAGGAATCGCAGGGCGGCGACGAGGCAGACAATAAATCTCCAGGATTAGCATGGTACCGTGCAGTACAGTCCGTGGCCCCTAGCTATCGTAAATTACTTTGCAAAGTTCTGCGTATCGAGTGTTCCCCCCAGTACGAATTCTCGAGCGGAGCCCCACTCCAGCACCACCACACAACTTTCAGGTACGAGTATTAAAGTGCAGATCGTGGGTAGATCTTCACTCTCAAGTTGGGTATTATATAATAGATTCCCGTCAGGGCAGCGCACCGGTAGACTAGCATGACAACATCCCGAATTGTCTCATCTCATTGCATCCAGAGAGATCTGCGCTAGTAAGTTACAAGTATCTATCGAAACAAGGTTTGCAGTACAAAAAGCTTTGACACGATATTTCAAATATTTCCTCCCAAAAGTGCCACCGCGTACCCCACCAACTTTGACCCAACAACCGCGCTTCGCAAGCGATAGAGGTGGGTAGTTTGCCCCAGTTTTGCTAGCGACCTTGGTCCCGACAGACAGACAGCAGCCTACGAGTACAGTAGAGGATGAGAAAACTGCCGGCATCCCTTGCCAGCATACTCGTATCTATTCCGTCACTGCGCGGCCACAGACTATCTTCCGTATGCATACCTTGCAAGGAATAGCACACTGGAGTCGAGCCCCCCTGTTACGGTGCACCCCACAACCCGAACCTCTAGTCACTCTGCCGTACTTGATCGCTATTCCTCGCTTGGGTTGTTTGGAATACCCACGAACCCCCGATTTGCAAACATCTCTTCTCGGATCAATCCACTCCACCCGGCGGAGCCCTGAGTTTCGGAAAAGGTCATCGTGGTTTGCCTGGGTTTCCGCTGGACGCGCTTTCTAGTGTACAGAATTATTGTCGAAAGGGGGGGCTTTGAAAGATTGTGGAAAGTCGAGTGCCTTGGGGAGAGGAGGGGGGGTCTAGCCTGTGGATGAAATATTCAACTTCAGATGCGGGAACTGTAGCTGTGAGTACGAACGTGTGGGGTTGGAAGAGAAGGCGTTGAATTGTTAGCTTTGGGCTTGTATCCAAGTCGCCGCTTAACCAACAAAAAACCGGTGTAGCTGCAATAACCCCCCGCACTAGAGTACAGTACGGGTACCAGTACTACCGTAAGTTAAGTCCTCCACTCGGGAGACTGCATTGCCATGCTCACAGCAGTGCCCCACCCGCATCCCATCCATCCCATCTTCAACTATCCACCAAACCCCCTAAAAGTCTTCGGCCTCCACTCCCACCCGCGCCCGCGCCCGCACCAGGAATGGAATTATTCCCTACTAGCAAGCTCCAGAATCACCTTACTCAGTAGACCACCAGAGGGCGTTGAGAAAGAACTACCGCTAATGCAGGTCAGATATCGAAGAGGTGGCAAACCAACTGCCCGCCTCGCAGCGTACTACCCCCTTTTCTTCTTCCCAGCCCTCAGCGCTAACCAACCACAATAAATCCACCACCGGTACCGTTGGCCATTTGTCCTCCATCTTAGCAATGAACCGTTCTCACAACTTGCGGAAACCGGCGTGTCCGTACCATAGCAAACACCCCCGTCGGTCACACCCGAACCGCCCTGGAGAGACTCGCTGAGAAGGGTAAAGTCCGCGCAATCGGAGCTCCAAACCCCAACATCCCGCCATCTCGGGGAGCTCCCAAGAACGGTCAAGATCGTACCAGCTGTTAAACCGGGCCGAAGCATGCTCACTTTTCCAACAGCCCGAGCTACCGGTAAATTAATACCGTGCCTCGATAGCAATAGAATCCATAAAACCGCCCACGGACCGCAGGGAAGTGACATTTATGGAGAGAGGGTTATCGGTGATGGGGAGGTTTGGGGGCCCCGGAGGGGATGGGAAGGACCCCACGCACGTTTTGTCCAACTGCCGTAGGTTTCTGAGAAAGCCACCAGTGTTCTGCTCAAGAGTAACCACCCAGCCGAGAATGGTGTCAAATTTCGAGCACGGGTCTCTTAATCTCCTCTCGGTCAGGGGGGGGGGCTTACTGGACGTACCGGTACTATAACAGCTCGTAAATCGGGTTTGATGTGGGATGGCGGTTTCGTGTCGGGGGCTCCGGACAGGCATCAGAGATATGATATAACGATGCCGTGGGATGGGGTTTTGATATGATCGGCGAGCACGACGAGGCCTGCGTCAAGGGAGCATCCAAGAAATGGGTCGAGGAGAACTGGAAAGAGTACGGGTATGGTAGTAGGTGATGCTCAGGTAGTTTGCTTAATAATTTCTGTTTGTCGGGTGTATTGATAGCCTGATGGGTGAACTGGGCCTGTCCTACTTCAAACACGCCCGCTCGCCATATGAGATTGGCATCAGCCTTGCGAGGGCATGGGGGATCTACGTTGGTGAGGTATGATACTGTATACGGTAGGGCGGAGCCCCAGACAAATGATCTCGCCCACAGCTGTTGGTATGATACGAAGACTGCCGCTAAATAGGATATGATAGATCAAAGGTAAACAGAAGGAAACCACGAATGGCCGATAGGAATCACATTCTATCATACCGCCAGCGCAGGAAAAGCATATCATAGGTCATGTATTGTGTCAGGTCTAGCAAATACCCACCCAGAGAGCTCCAGTAAATCCCACATGATGCAGTAAACTACTATACACCAATCATCTTTGCGTTTCATAATTCCAGAGCAACCAGAGCCAGAAATAATAACATAAAACGCCGCGCGATGCAAGTTCCCATGTCCCACCCACGCCAGCTCCGCCAATCACGCCTCCCACTTCTCTCCCAACCAATCCACTTCCGAATAACTCTTAGAAGCAGACCACGGCATTTCATTTGAGACGTACTTCCGCAATGGCAACCCATACGGCATCCTCAACCCTGCTGTTCCTCCATCTCCAATCTCATCCGGGCTATCCTTCTTAAAAGTCGGCACCATTTCTTCTACCTCCAGGATTTCCGGGTACACCAGGACCCCTGCTTCGTAACTGCAGATGCGCACTTCTCTGCGGTTCACACTTCCCACCGTGTCCTTCTCTGCGGAGCCCCAGGCTTGGATGGAAATGTTCGCTGATGTCAAGAGGGCCCAATCGATATGCGTGCAGTCGGGGTCCGAGAAGCGGATGTAGGTCTTTATATGAGGTGCTGCCCTCGCCCTTCCTGCGTCCTTGATGGCGAGGGAGGATGATGACGACTGATTGCTCGGTGGAGGGTTCGGGTCCCAGTGTGTGAGGTGTCGCCGCATATACCCTAGTTGTAGCTGCTGTGCTGGGGACTGAAATTTCATGTGTAGCGATGAGCCACTTCTATATCCATTTAGAGATTCCCGGATTTCGTCGGCTGTGGGGAAGATCAGGTGGAGCTTTGGCTCAGCGGATCTTGTTAATTTGCTCCTTTTCAAACTCGCGAATAGGACTGGAGAAAGCCATGTGTTTTTTGATCCAAGAGTAGCGATAGAGGATACTTGGACCACTATGCAGCCTTTGGCATCAGGACTTCGAAGAGGAACTTTCCGAAGGACACTAGCCAGTCGTCTCCAACCCCATTCGTAGCCTTTCCCATTGGACGCGTCAATATGGAACTTCCCGGGGACGCTACCGACAAATACTGCTTTGACCGGATCGAAAGAGTATTTTGAAAGCTGCGCAGTGAGAAAGTCTGTTCTCTCCACGCCATAAGCCGAGAAATAGGCTAAGATATCGGTCTTGAATTTCTGTCCAATGGGTTTGGAGGCCTGGGCATTAGGTGATCCATGATCTTGGGGTAAGAGGGGAAGAAGTGGAGATTGCCAGGCAGCCTGTGTCATATTCTGCCAGTCGAACGGGATCATATTGGCCGTGTGTATTACGATTCTAGTCTGTCAGTCCTGTCACGGCCAATACGAAGAGTGTCTTACTGGGCATGATCATCGCTCCGGAACAGAACAAACATCTTCGAATGATGGGTTCCATAGGGCTCAGGCATAAAAGCGCAAATAAGGTTGACATTAGGATAACGCTCCGCTTGGTTCTACCAATATTTAGTATAGTCCCCTCCAGTATGGGTGATTGACTAACGTGGAGTCGAACCCGGTTGGGGTCCTCTCGTCTCCAGCTCCCATGGACTATTCTCACTTTGACCGTGTCCTTGACCTCGGGGTCAAACTGATTCCTAAACAATCCCCCCCCAGTAAGCGCAAAGCAAAGCACTTTAATCGAGAATAACCCACATAACCCAATCCAAGTCAAACAAGTAATTGAACACCCAAACCTCCTTGAGTGGACCTCTGCGAAGGATATCTCTAATCCCCACCGCGTCGACGTTCTCGCTCTCGGGCAGTTCGTCGACTCTCGTGAGTTGAAACGGCGAAGCCTGCCCCACCCTCGGTTTGACGACCATCAAGCCGCCACTTCTTTCACCCTCCTGCTCCATCCGTGCCCTCCGCTCCCCCAACCTCTTCTCCAGCGGTGGAGTGGGAGACCTCGCTTTCCGCTTCAGCATTGGAGGGGAAACCGGGGCGCGTAGGGATTCTATTTCGCGTGGCGAGGGGTTTTTCGACATTGTCGGTATTCTCCTGGAAGAGTGTGTAAGGAGGATGGAGGCGTAAGCCAGGGATGCACGCATAGGACGGGGGATCGAGAAGCGATAAAATTGGGAAGACGTCACGTCGCACGACTAAAACGACAGCAAGTTATGAATCACAAAGAATGCATGGAAATGTTGTCTGACGGGTGTGGAAGCACGTTGCAGGTCCTTGATACGAAGTTGATGATTGGGGGGCTAGTTTATTACATTCTGATGTTTCGGGAATAGCTGGAGCAGTTCTTCTCGATAGCCTACCGGTACCGGTAGACTATGATACCCGCCCTGGATCATGAGCACAAGAGCCAATACCGGTAGCTACCAGTATCGCCTATCAGAACAGCTTCCAAGAATCCGTGCAGCTTTCAAAAGCATAGCTTCCCCAAAAGTTAATATATTTGAAATCTCTTTCTATTTTCTGAATCCCCAGCTCATTCTCTATCGAAAAATCGAGAAAACAAAAATAAAAGTTGTTGGGAAGCCTTAGCAGTTTGAAGTTGGGCATTTTTCGGGTTGGGAAGTCATCCGGTTAAAGGCTTCCCCCCACCATAAAAGGTCCGAACAATTCACTACTCGTAGTGTCACTTCACACTTGGCAGAAAACCATTTCAGGGACAATTCCATACGAGTAATCCCGTTTAAAAAATAGAAAACCGCTCAGGTATCTCCACCCATCCATCCACTTACGGCGCCAGACACCAAACGAACAAGAGCACCACCCCTCTAGTCTAGAAAAAAAAACCCCCCGTGAGCATTCATGGCGCCAGACACCAAACGAACAAGAGCACCACCCCTCTAGTCTAGAAAAAAAAAACCCCCCTTGAGCACTCATCCCCGACCCATCAGGCTTTGCTATTTTGTGCTACACAAGTGACGTCAGTATGCATAATTAGAACCGTCTAGAATTGATCTGCCCCTTACCCTTAATACAGCCATCCCCCCCACCTCCCCTTATGCAAGCACCGAATGCTTTCAACCTTTCGTGCATGACATGAAGCTTCTTTGGGTCGTTCATGAAAACTAGCGGTGCACCGATAGCCATCGCTTGAGTCTGGTTAATTCCCTTACCGAGCTCTGCCTTTGCTTCTTCGATGCGGCTGCTGAGTTCGGTCTTAGTTTCCTCGATATGGTCTTTGAGTTCCCTCATGGATGCATCGGTGTTTGCCCTAAGTTTTCATTTAGTTTCTTTTCGGGTTCAATCTTCTCTTATGACACCCGGCACGACATACTGGTTGCTCTTTTGCGAGAAGTGTAAAAACGCCCCACAAATAACGGTCGCGGCAGGATTGGCGAGGTGAGACACAACCTTGCAGAATAGTTCTTAAATAATATCCATTGGTCAGCCAGCAATCAAATGAGGGTCAAATAAAGGGGTGCTCTTACGAGTACACTCACACCCCGTTATCCCGGACGGCCAAAATCTAAAGAATCTGTCCGGTACAGCGGGTTATCCAGAACAACGAGTCAAGTTTTGCTGTGGAAATTTTTGGAATTCACAACATTTCATACGGGACAGCGAGGTATCCGTATTATAGAGATCCGGGACAGCGGGGTTTGAGTG